TAATTGCTGGCTCACAATTAAATTATGGCTTATACTAAAAAAAAAAAAAAAAACAAACCTGTTCACACTTACTATATGCTAGTTCCCTATTTAAAAAAAAAATTACTTAATGTATATAAGAACTGGGGTGTAGGCCAGAAGTGCAGGGGGTGAGAGGATTCACTAGAGACAGAGCAGGGAACAGAACAGGCAGACTGACTGAAGTACACTGTTGAAGGGAGCAGCTGAGAGACAGGAGAGGTCTGCTGTGCCACGTGGGTCATCTCCCTGGTGGCTAGGGATTGAACTCTTGCTGCAGTGGTTGGTAATAGCTATCTTTAGTGCTATCTTTAACCCCTCTGTGACAAGGGAGGCCTCATGCCAGTTTCCTACCTGAGAGCATGCATGTTAATAACATCTTATTAGGATGATTCCTTCTTATTCTCAAAAAGGTCCCTGGAGGAAATTTTACATTCTTATGCCACCCTTAGTGTTCCTACTTTAAAAAATCCTAGGTGAGAACTGAGCACTGCCAAATTTTAACAGCTGATCAGGTGATTATAATACACCTAGACCTATAAATTCCTGGGAACATATTTGCAATTCCTATTTGAAATGCTTAGAGCTGAGTGTTTCATAATCAAAATTTCTTCCCATTTTCTACTTTTAGAAAAGCAAAATGGTACAGATACTGTTAATATGAAATGCTCTCTTGTGGACCTGGGCCTTTACTATCGATGAAATGCATAAATATTTTGTCAGTGCCATACATAAACATTCACGCTAAGTAGAAACAATAAAGAGCATAAGTAGCTTTATGTTCGCTAAGATCAAGTTTTACAGCCAAAAAATTTTTGGCATAAGATGTCAGAAGAAAATCACAGTTTTCAACTTCTAACATATATATTTATTATGGTTCACCAGAAAAACTGAACCAATAGGTTGTATACATGTATATATATGTATGTGTATCTTCCGAGTAAGTTATTCCCTAACAGAGCCAAGTAGACAAAATTTGTATTCAACAAGATTTGCAAGGAATAAGAAGAGAAAAGGGACACACCTTTTCAGAGAATGTTGGAAAGTGGTGATACTAGTAGGGTGAAGGGATAAAAGAAGAGAGGAAGATAGGAATTGTTAGAAGGGAGAAGTGTGGGAAAGCAGGGCTCTGTGCTTGGCCTCCTTTTTACAGAGACCTCCTGGTAGAGTGAGGCCTTTCTCCTATCAGTAGTGCAAAGGAATGCAGTAGTCTATTCTAATCAATTTTACTCTGCTCTGATTTTAGCTGGGATTGTGCAAAATTTATTATCCAGAATTTTTTGTGTAATGTTCCTCAAGTATTTGAGGAGGAGAGAAGAGACTTTTACATAAGGAGAGAAGAGATTTTCATCCTATTTGATTGTTTTACTTCTAGCAAGACCCTTTTATCAGAATGTTTCCAGGGTCTAGCTTTTTTTGGTATTTTGCTTGTTTGGCTCTTCATTGGTATCTCTGAAGATACCTTCTCTGGGCCTCTGTGCTCTGATAACCTAGGCTTGTTTTTGTAGTCCCCTGGCCTAAGCGTGGTATTATTTTATTATCTTTGGGTTATCTCATTGTTTCTATTTTGCTATTTTAGTTCACCAACAGCTGTGTAAACCAGTTCTTTATATAAATATATTTTTAAAGATTTATTTATTTATTCGTATAGAACTGGGGTACAGGCCAGAGATGCGGAGGGTGAGAGGATTCACCAGACAGAGTGGGGAGCAGAACAGGCAGTTCTACGAAGTACACTGCTGAGGGGAGCAGCGGGCAGGTCAGGAGAGGGCTGCCACGCCATGTGGATCTCCTCTGGGGCAGGCGGGGATTGAACTCATGCGGAAGTAGCTTTAGCTTCTTAGTGCTATGCTTTAACCCGCTGCGCCACCAGGGAGGGCCCAACCAGTTCTTTATATTTAACTCCCTCTTGAAAAATTGACTTTGGTGTCTCTTTCATAATTTTAATACGTATTAGTAGAAATGGCTCCAGGAAATATATCCTAAAAGATGGTATCCTAGAATTGCTTCAGTATGTTCTTGGCTTTGAATACACTGCCTCATTCCTTGGTAATAAAAATTGTGTTGCTAATAATCCATGGCATGTTTTGGTGTCATGATTAATTGTTTGCTCAAGCAGGTATTTTGGAAACCAAGTAGCTGTCATACATATCTTTTTTGATTGTAATGAAAATTATATAAACTTTTGATTGTATTCATGAACTTACTGGTGACAAATTCACACCATAAAATTCTTCACTAAAGATACTGTTGAAGAATCAGTTTCTATAGCAACCTTAACAGAACTTATTTTCTGTAGCCATGGAATTAACTTTGCTATAGATCAGTCCAGAACTTAATTATGTGTGGTTCAGAAACACAATACAAGTTGAATTTATAACCTGCCAATCTCTTACTTGAAAGTCTGGGCTTGATTGAAAAGAAGTGGGACTTTGAATGGGTGACATTGTCTGTATGAATTTATACAGTACTGAAAGTCTTGAACCTGAATTTTTTTTGAGCATCTCTTTTCAACAGAATCAGCTCTTTTTATTGCATCAGATAATTCTTTACCTTACTCCAGGGTCCTATAATAAGGCATTTGCCTTAAAAATGAATGCTTAGCTTTGTCAAGACCACCTCTCATGGTTTCTTTAATTCTGGTCAGAACAGGTGCAAGAGGGCCAAAAGAATTGTACAATTTTACTATTAGAAGACATTTGGTAATTTTATGTGGCAATGGATTTTCTGATTGTTAAATTAAGATAGATGAAATATAACATTGGATTAGGATAAATTTATTCAACTATTTCTCAGAGCACCTGTATTTAATATATTAGCTCAAGCAGCTGGAAGAGGCTATAACAGTTTGCTTGGTTAAGTGACAAAAACTTGGACTCCATGGTTATACACATTCAATGAGACTGAAATTTCCGACATCTGGTCATAATACTGAGGAAGAAATTCAAAGGCTCAAAGAGGTGGGAATTTTGAAGTGGATTCATATGCAGCCTCACACTGTAATACTCAAAAGTCTGATACTGCACCTTCCCCTATAATACTAGAGCAGGCACAGAAATTACTCCTTTCTCTAAGGTACTGAGAAATATATTAGTGAGAGGTGTCCCAGCATCCATAAAAACAATTGTGTGACTGGTGGCCGTTCTCTGGAGAGTAGAGATAGTGGTGAGGGCACTATCACTGACATCGTGGGAATGATGGAATTCCAGAAAGGCATAGCAGGATAGCAGGAGTGCTTAGTTACTAGGGATAAGGTGGGAATGCTTTCTGTAATATAATTGGCACCAAGAATAAAGCAGAATCAGAATGCTTTGACTCACTTTACATAAGAGATTGAGTTTCTCCAAACTTAAATTTGTTGGGAGCAGAAGGAGATCACAACCAATATGTCTTGACTTCCAGCCTCAGATTCCTTCATTAAACCTAATAAAGGCCAGATTTTTCTCAGGTGTAATTCAAGACTCAGCTCACTTTGACTCTGTATGTTTATATTCATGCATATTTGTTTTGTGTGTCACATATGACTAATGGGTAGAACATAATAACATAACATGCAAAAGCAAAAATTGTCATTCCTGATAGTAACCTCTGCATGCATGTTTATGCTGCTTTTGAATTGAGTTTAGCAGTTGTAACTTATATTTTATGACCTGCAATGACTAAATTGCTCAGATACTTTATGGAAAAGTTTGCTTACCCTTGTCTAAAAATAAAAGTAGTGCAGATAAAGCTTAATTGCTTGTCATTGGCCCATCTTTTCTGTCACTATAAATTTGGTAATATTGTGTTTATGTTTGGAGGTTTATTTTTAGATTTTTTTTAAAGATTTATTTATTTATTCATACAGAACTGGGGTACAGGCCAGAGATGCGGAGGGTGATAGGATTCACCAGAGACAGAGTGGGGAGCAGAACAGGCAGTTCTACGAAGTACACTGCTGAGGGGAGCAGCGGATGGGTCAGGAGAGGTCTGCCTCGCCATATGGTCACCTCCGGGGCAGGCAGGGTTCGAACTCATGTGGAAGTGGCTTTAGCTTCTTAGTGCTGTGCTTTAACCCGCTGCACCACCAGGGAGGGTCCTGTTTTTAGATTTTAAAAAATCTGTGATTTCTTTGGCTGCTGGGAAAGGTGGGACAGAAGAGAAAGCAGTATCACTGTTTTCTAAAGAAGGTAGTTTACTTGATCTCCCTTTTACAGGTATAGTTTATGTTACATATTTTTGTAAATTAGAAACATTTTTATTGAAGGTAATACTGGTTTACAACACTTAGGTAATTTAGATGTGTAGGAGTGTACCCGCCAGTGTATGTTACCACACCGTAACCACCACCAAAGCACTATTAGGCTTTTCTCATTGGTGTATTTTAAAGAGTATAATTATTAAAGAGGACTTTTTAAAATACTGATACAATGGCATTAGCTCTTGATCATTAATTACTTTCACTTTTTCAGTTGTTAGTATTCATTTTATATATATATATATATATATTTAGTATTCATTGTATTTTTTTCAAAAAAACTCAATAATTTTTAAGGTCTGCTAATTTGTCAAAATTTAATATTATGTACACTTATATATAAAAATATATATAAACATGAAGGTACTGTAAGGTAGGCATGAGTGTTTGTTCTAATAGTAGGGAAAATTGAAGCCCAGTGAAGTAGAAAGACTTATGAAATTGAATGACACATGATTAATTATAGAACTGGAACCAGAAACAGTCTTTGGGCATGCTTTGTTGCTTTATCTTATGCTGACATTTATATAACAGTTTACTGTATTCTTTGGTTGATATCTGTATATTTTATAAAGTCTTATAAACTAGAATTTAAAATTGCTTACTTGAACTCTGAAGAAAAGGTAAGAGAAACATGAAATATTGATTTTGCATCATAGAAAGATATGTATACTTCTCTCACTCTATCATTCATGCTTTCATTCTTTTTTTCTTCCTTTTTAATTTGTATCTCATCAATTTCTAGAAAAGGATTGATGGAAGTTCTCTGGCTGATTCCGAGGAAAGTCATAATGTGTAAAATTATCTTCAAATTTGTAACTACATAGGTTTCTTGCCATCAGATTGTGATGACCCAACAATATTGACAAGAGAAAAAAAAAATCCACGTAAGTAGTATAAGCTTTTGTGCTTAATTTACATGAATGGAAATCATATTACATACCTTTTCTGTAGTCTGGTTTCTTATACATTATGTTCTTAGAATTTATCCATGTTGTATTGTATAGCTGCAGTTCTTTATTTTTTTCTATTATATGTGAAATACCATTGTACGTATAACCACATTTTAAAAATATTTTTAATGCCACAAGGCATATGAATTGCTTACTATTTTTGTTACAGAAAACAAATGCTGGTAAAAACATCCTTTACAAGTGTTTTTGTAGAGGGCATATGTTCTCAAGAGACTAACTGATCAATCTTAGAGCAAAATCAATATTTCATGTTTCTCTTACCTTTTCTTCATAAAAGTTACTAGGATCCTGCTCCACTTCTGTGCCTGTCACCTAGTGTCCATGTCTAGTTTTCATCTTTCATCTTCCATCTCCACTGAGGCATCTTGGTCATCTTTGCATTCAAGATGGGGTTTGATCATGAGATAGCTTAGAAAAATAGGAAACAAATTATGATTGTCATCAAATTGTCAAAGGACTGTTTTATATGAGGGAAGAATGAATTAACATGATTATTGAGAATGTAGTGTAACAATTAAGGAAAAGAAAGTTATTGCCAGCCACTGAAGCATGAGTTAGTACAAAAATGTGTAGGTAAAGGGCGCTCCCTGGTGGCGCAGCGGGTTACAGCACAGCACTAAGAAGCTAAAGCTGCTTCAGCAGGGGTTTGATCCCTGCCCTGGGAGGTGACCCACATGGTGCAGCAGACCTCTCTTGACCCGCCCGCTGCTCCCTTCAGCAGTGTACTTCTTCAGTCGACCTGTTCTGCTCCCCACTCTGTCTCTGGTGAATCCTCTCTCTGGCCTGCACCCCAGCTCTGTATGCATAAATAAATCTTTTTAAAAAATGTGTAGGTAAAACTGCAAGGAATGACTTTATATAATATATACATTTGCCTGGGTCATCAACTATTTTCAGGAAAGGGTTAATGATAAGAGTGTAAAGTCAGATGGGGCCAGAATTCTAGCCCAAACAATTTGAATTTAAATTAGTAGGCAACTGATAGTTGTTAATAGATACATAAACCTCTCAATTTTATACAGTCTAAAATGTGTCTGAGAGACAGAGGGTAAAATCAGCACTTATTCAGTTAAACTTGGCAATGGTAAGAATGGGATGAAATATAGGAACACGAAACAAGTTAATTATTGACATTTTATTTAGGGTTAATGATATGAATAATTTTTTCCTCATGATAGTTTGATGTTTAAATACATCTTTCATTGACTACAAAAAAATTCTTTTTTTAAAACTGCACCCCTCTCCCCTAAAATTTATTTTTCTGGGAAGGTATGAGACCTTATCTTGACATTTCCTTCCACAGTTAAGATTCAAGCCTTGAGTTGTAACTTAAAATCACATAATTTGGGAACTAATACTTCACTCTCATTTGAAAGAAAATTTGCTGGCTTATTCTTGTTCATATAGTTCTGGCCATTTATTTTTAGGTTATGATATGTACCAGAGCATCTCTATAAATTTCTAATGCTACCTCATTTTGTTAATATGAGAATCATTAGATGTCAATCAAAATTTGTGATATTAAAATTCGTGGTCTCCTTTATGAATACCAAGGATCAGAAAATTATCAAAGGAACACTAATAGGCATACCACAAATGGCTAATGTAATTTTTACTTCTAAACAGAGTGAAAAATGAGTGTATGTATTTCGGCATTCTACTACCAAAACCTCATTAGGATTTGGACAGCATGTGGGGAAATGACACAGCTGATATTTTCTCAGGCAAAATACATTAACATTACAAATGAAACTTGGTCCAAATCTATTTCAAAGAGCATTTTCTCTCAGAGGCATAGTTAGCATTGCATTAGTAGTGCAATTGTTAAGCTCTGTTGAATAACTCTGTGTTTTGGAAAAGGAAAGTGACCTTTTGTATCTCTCAGTGGAGTGGTATCCCCACAGACATATTTTAAATAAAACTAATTAGTGCCAGACACCTGATTTACAAAAAACAAAAAGTGGGAAAAGCTTTTTTTTTATTTGCTAAAATACAAATTGTTTTATAATATTAGATTCTCATGTCTTACCTTTGTTTTTTCCTAATGGAACAACTTCATCATCTGTTATAGCTTGAGTTGGGGAATGGAGAACAGAAATATATGGTTGGAAATTCTCAATTTTGTAATATGGACACAACTTTGTTACTTTAGCTACTTAATAATTAGTATAAGTATTGTTTTTCTTCAGTTATGAAAGTTACTTATTTTTCACATTTTTACATATTTGAAAACTGTGTAATTCCTAAAAAGCAATATTGAAAGAATCCTGCCAACATTTCTCTGATTCTTAGTGATTGTTATCTTAGTGATAGTGATAATGCAGTCATGTGCATTAGCACTCATACATTTATAACTTAAGTTCACATCTGTAATGTTGATTTAAATGTTTCAAAAGGATAATATAGAACTGAAAGGAAACTTTTTTTAAAAGCTTTATTTATTTATGCATATAAGAACTGGGGTACTGGCCAGAAGTATGGGGTTGAGAGGTTTTACCATAGAAAAAACAGGGAGCAAAACAGGTGGATTGACTGAAATACACTGCTGAGGGGGAGCAGCAGGTGGGTGGGGGAGAGGTCTGCCATGCCATGTGGGTCGGCTTCCTGGCCAGGGATCAAACTGGTGCAGTGGTGGTTTTGGAGAGCTCCCTAGTGCGGTGTTTTAACTCATTGTACCACCAGGGAGAGCCCAGGAAACATTTTTTACAAAGAAGGACTACTTAATGTCATCAAAAAAGTCAAAGGTCAAGCAGCCAAATCCTTTGTATATAATTCGGTACCTCAAACCAGGAAAAATTATATGACAGATTCCTGGTCTTAAAGGATTATTAGTCGGTTGCTAAGTATCAATCTATCAAAAGCTTTTGTATGACTTTTAGGAGAAGGGAATTCACTTACTGTGGTAGGTAATTCAGAGCTTCAGCTTAACCAAATAGGAAATGCAAACAAACCCTAAAATTGTACTGTCAGTGATGTTCCTGTGGTGATCACAAACTTGTATCGTAAAAAACATGGATTGACCAAAATCAACTCAGGAGATAGAACTGGGAGACACTGGAACTCAAATTTCATTTTGATGATGCAGAAATTACTCTATCTTTAACTTACTTTATATGAATATAATATTCTTCTTTGATAGGATTATTAAGTTTGAGCTGAAATGAGAAATCCAAATTGCAGTAGAACACTTAACAAACTTGTTGTATTTTAGTAGACAAAATGGAGAAATACAATGTAGATTTGTGTATTTGCAGTTGAATAATTGTGCTGATATTGTCAGCACAATGAGAGAATTGACAGCATCTGGAGAGAGGTTTCTAGTGGCTAGGAGATGACTCTTTCCTAAACCTTACATGTAGTGTCATTGCTGTTCCCTCATAAGATTTGCATTTATAAAAAAAGTAGGAGGGATAAAAATTACATTAAATGATCAAATGAGTATATTTAAACCTCTGACCAAGTAGAGTGTTGGACTAACATACTGATTTTGAAGGGATAAATACAAAATCCTGAACCTGAGCAAATCAACTAAACTTGCTCAGATAAGCTAGTTTTTAAAATTCTAACCATTTTGCTGTATTTTTCTGAGTCTCAGTTTCACTGTGTGTGAAATGGAAATAAAAATAGTAACAGTTTGAAATAAAGGCTGGCATAGTGTGGGTACACAGTAAATACACAACAGGTGTTAGACTCTACTTTTCCAGAAATCCTGGGATAAAATCCAAATCCTGCCAATATACTTGACTTAGGTAAGGTTCTTATTCATTTTAAGTCTGATTTTCCTCATTTGAAAATGAGGATAAAAGTAATACTTCATAGGTGCCTGTTGTAAGGATTAAATGAGATGATTCATATGAAACCCTCTTGTATATGAATATGATACACAATGAATTCAACTATTAGCATGACTTCCAGAAAAATATACCTATGTATTAAACTGCAAAAGCATAGTCTCTCTAGCATAAGGAAAACTGTATTTCTAGTCATTATAAACTAATTTATACTATTCAGTTTAAATGCACTTTTAAGAAAAATATTGGAAAATCAAGGTGAAAATATAATTAAATCATGAAAAATATTGGGAGAAACTGCAGATGTTTATCCTGGAGAAGAGAAAGTTATGATACTAGGAAACTGACCTAAGAACCAACACTGAAAGAGGAATGTGGTTTGCTCTGTGTGGAGTCTGGAGTTAGAAATATCCTAAGAGGAAACAGGCTTTTTGCTTCCCTGAAAAAAGACTTTCTTACTGTGAGAGCTGTACAAAGGTCGGATGACTGTCTAGGAAGGTAGTGATTTCTCAGACACAGACTTTTCCCCCCCAAATGTCTGCAAAGTCATTTGAGGGAGAATTGCAGAGAGGATTCAGGGATTTGAGATGGGATTTGGCTTAGTGATCTTTAAAGGCCAATCCTTTTCTGAGTTTTTGTGTTTCTGCAGCTGTTGGCTGCCTTACACTGCTTAACATTTAAAACGTTTTTAAAAACCTGCATCCAGTCACTTACTCTTTTCTTTCAGATTATTTGACTGCAGCATCTCACATGAAAAATTGCTTATCTCTGACCTTTAAGGGCGAAAAGTTATTTCCTTCACTGCTTTTATCTGAGTTGAAATGCTTTTTCTGGGTAAACGGATTTGCACAAACAGTGTGTACCAATAGTACTTGCATTTCTTTTAAAATAGGGAAGTTGATAAAATAGTTATAAAATTGTAGAGTCATATAATTTCCGATGGCTCAGCTTTAATAGTCAGTCATTTTCCTGTCCCAAGTAATGCTAATATTAGTTAATAGACATGCAAGTATTGGATGCATATATGATTCACAAACAAGTTTGCTATTGGAGGGCTTTCTTTGAACAGTGTGCATCATAGGAAATTTTTGTATTGACATTTACTGCCTCATTCAGCATAAT